ACGGCAACGATGGTGGACGGTACAAAACTTCCCATCCACGATGAAGCATCACTGCAACTCCATATTAGGGCGCTAAGGTGGAAGCCGACGTTGCCGATCACGGAAATCAAGAGTTTAGATTTCATCTTGGGGCGAGATCTCTTGAAGCGGTTCAACCCCGAGATTGACTGTCTCAACAGGAAGGCATGCATCTACGACAACGGGAAACGTGTGGAGCTGCAGAGCTGGACGAATACAGGGTACGTTCCTGACATGACACTGGCACGGTTCGAATGGACGGTGAACGAGAGTAACATGGGTTACTTAGCACTGGTTATAGCAGCAAAAGAGAAGCCGAATGCAGAGCTACCTGCATCAGTGAAGGAGGTATTGGAGCAGTACAAGGACATCATGCCAGATGACCTACCTGCAGGAGTACCTCCAGCACGAACCCACGAGCACGAGATCGTGGAGGAACCAAGTGCGAATCCCGTCTCACGTGCACCATACCTCCTTAGTCCGACGGCTTATGCTGGCTTTGCTAGCTTTCCTGGACTTTATTATGCAATTACTAGCTTAGGTTTTATATATCATGCATAGATATGCTTGACCTGTGTTTGTGGCCTTGTGTCGAGACTATATATAGCCTCGTGTTGTACCCAGGTGAATCAATCATTTTACAACCCACTTTTCTGTGCTCGATCCTACATCTTCACACGTTGCATACATTCTTCACAGTGTCGGTGTAGGGGTCCACTAAAGATATTGCGTGGCATTGCTTCTTGGGTGGGCTTATCGCCCATGCGTTCAGAATCTTGGATCGTGCATCAGGTGGCAAACCACGAGGTAGTAGGCGGTTCGCACATGCTCATCAAGCACAACCTCGTGCACTATGGGTCGACGCGCGAGATGGTGGAGCGTTTCGTGCTGGTGAAGCCATTCATCATGTTCCTCTTTGTGGGTCAAGTATATTTGTTTGGAGCTTGAGCGTGTTGTGACAAGCAATGTTCAGGCATGCGAGCATATGTAGAACTCGTCTTCTAAACTGTTTACCGCATGCACTCATCCCCTTTCATCCCCAACCTTCCTCTCCACGGCAGGGGGACATCTCATGCGGAACAGGAGAAGTTTAGGGCTTTGCACGTAATCGACACGGAGAGGGAGGGCTTGGAGGCTCTAGAAGGATTCCTTTTACCCTTTGTTAAAGTCTCCAAAGGGGCTAAGGGGTTGGCTTACCCCATAGTGTCAATAATGCTGGATAACGACCTCATCGACCTAGGCCTGCCAACTCTGGTATGCCCACTCATGGAGGTTGCACTGGCGCATTTGAAAATGTGCGAGTTTTTATTTGGGGACACGTACTCACATGCCACCTTCTTGGATCTTGCACATGCCCCTTTCATAGCAGCACGGCCCAGAGCTAGTGGCGGAAAGTGTGGGGGAAGGAGGGCGCGTCTATGTGTGAGCGCAGAGAGAGTCGTAACTTTGGTGAGGAGGCGTGTGATAGAGTATCATTCTCGGGCAATATCCCCGTAACAGCTGCTATAGTCACTGAAATGGACGACAATGACGAAGGGTTCCTCCCAAAAAGGCTCGACTTCAGGTGCGGGCAAGGGAGTGGGAGGTCAAGATGCATATCTACAGCATTACAGCGCTGTATTACTCACAACAGGTCCAGAACATGACATGTGCAAGCTCCTCCACAATCAACAGCGCTGTATTACTCAGTAGATGGCACGGGATGATCTAACGATTGTATAAGCGAAGGGAAATATATCAGGTCGCCTGGTCGATTATGGAGGAGCTGCACTACTATGGGGTGGGGGAGGTAGGTGTGTCGAGGGTAGCGACAGGGCAGGGGATGGAGGAGCTAGTGCTGGTAAGGGGGCTTGGGTGGGCACGGGCTGGCATAAAATTAGATCCCTTGCTGCTAGACTATGATGTTATTGTTGTGGATTGTTTTCCAACCCTAAACTTCTTTTAGGTAGGCACACTTTATAAAATCATGCATGTCTCCAAGAATTGCTCTTGTTTCACATTATCATTCTTCTTTATTAATGGTATCCTATGCTCCCTTCTCTTCCTTTTCACTTTCCCAAGCCACTTTACATATCTTGGCAATTGCTTGTTTTTTTTTTTTCGAGTTTACCATGAACAATGCTATGTTTGTACAAACAATAGTGCGTTTGCTCGCCCATGAGGGCCTCGTGTAAGAGGTCTACTGGTGATCCCCGATTGATCCTAGGGAAGGGTTACAGGCATGTTGGCCTGGGGGGTTATGGGCGCACTGACCCGCTAATTAACAAGCCCTTTTATCCCAATGGTCTAGTGGTTGGGATTCTGACATGGTATCAGAGAGAAGGTCTCGGGTTCAAATCCCAGTGTGTGCACTTCAGGCATCCCAGTGCGAGGGGGTGTCAGAGGTCTACTGGTGATCCCCGATTGATCCTATGGAAGGGTTACAGGCATGTTGGCCTGGGGGGTTATGGGCGCACTGACCCGCTACTTAACAAGCCCTTTTATCCCAGTGGTCTAGTGGTTGGGATTCTGACACCTCGAACAACCCCTATGAGAAATAAGGTTTGCCACATATCGAACATGTTCTAAGTTCATGGCCAAAGTTGGGTTCAGCAACGTTCAAACCGAATATGTTCACTGACACAATCTCAGGTCGTGGAGGCCATGGTAGACGCAAAAGGCGGTAGTATACTCTGGAGGCCGCCACGGTTACGACGGGGCAGCAATTGCAATATGCGGAGGTCGCGTTGCCGGATCTGAGAACCGCTGAGGTCTTGACAAGCCGACGAAAGCATCGCTACGGCTGCAGGTAGGCCGCAGCTGCCACAACGATACGCTTGCAGATTATGGAGGACGTAACAGTTATGGCGGCCGCGACAACGTAGTTGCTTGGCGGTGAGGTCGTGCTAGTGGTGGCTGTGAAGAAATGAGGAATGAATGAACTAGCAAGCAGGTGGGTACAAGTAGGAAAACCTAAAAGTGTTGTACCCCATATTGTCTACCCCACTACAGCCTACACAGACTATAGCATATGAGTTTGACACACCCCCATAGGCAAAGTGGGGGAGAACAAGAGGTCACAAGACCAGTCAAGCAAATCAAAGCAAGCTCAGGGTGGATCACAACGTCACCACACATTCCGAGTACAGGTTCAAGGCCACAAGGCCAGTTCACATGCAAGATCATATATAAAGGTAAACAAGCAAGTGCAGGTATAGAAAGATCACAGTACAAGCAAGGTCAAGAAGTGAGCAAGTGAGGCCAAGTAGGCACAAGACCTAGCATCGTACAGAAGCGCTGATGATCACCAGGCGGAAGTGCCTTGGTAAAGATATCAGCAGTGTTGGCCTCAGAGGCCACGTAAGCAAGGCGCAGCTGACCACGCTGCTGCAACTCACGAGCAAGGAAGTAGCGAAGAGCAATGTGCTTCGTTCTGTGCTCCAGTCTGTGCTCCCGACACAAGGCCAGCATGGCCTTGTTGTCTACGTACAGAACTGGAGGAGAACGAGGCGGCTCTCCTAGGTCAGTCAGCAGGTAGGTGAGCCAGCGTAGCTCCTGTGCAACCATAGCCCCCGCGTAGATCTCAGCCTCATAGCTGGAGCCGAGAACAGAAGACGAGCGGGTAGACCGCCACGAAACAGAGCCGGAGCCAAGGGTGAAGGTGTAACCCTGTGACGACCGCTGCGTAGCCTGGTCGTCAGCCCAAGAAGCGTCTGCGTGACCTGTGAGGACCACTGAACGCCGCCCTCCAAGCACTAGCCCCATGCCCGACGTACTGCACAAGTAGCGCAACACCCTCTTCGCTGCAGCCATGTGCTCTGGTCGGTGTCTCCCAGGAGCAACATAGCGTGCCAAGATGCTAAGAGGGTATGCAAGGTCAGGTCGAGTGCAGGTCATCAGGTACATGAGGCAGCCAACAAGCTCTGGGTACGGGCCACTCGGCTCTACGGACTCATTCGAAGGCACAGCTGAGAGCGAGTGGCGAGTAGACAGAGGAGTGGCCTGAGGCGAGGAGTACGTGAAGTCGAAGCGCTGAAGGACCTGCTGCACCATGTGTGACTGAGTCAGGGTAATGGTGCGCTGTGCTCTGTCCCGGGTGATCTGCAAGCCAAGGTAGCTGCGCAGTTCACCCAAGTCTGTGCACGTGTGTCTCTTCTGCAGCTCGGACTTCACGTGGGCGAGTCCAGCAGTGTTAGCAGTGGCAAAGACCAAGTCGTCGACGTACACGAGGATGTAGAACGGCGGCAAAGAGGTGTCGGTGCGCAGAAACAGCGACGGGTCGGCAGTAGAAGGAGCAAAGCCAAGAGCCGCAAGTGTAGTCCTCAGTGTGTCGTGCCACTCACGGGGCGCCTGGCGGAGACCGTAGACTGGCCGCCGGAGGCTCCACTGGGTACCAGGGGGAAACGACCCAGTGAAGCCAGGTGGGCGGCGCAGCCAGATCTCCTCGTGCAGGCTGCCCTGCAAGAAAGCTGTGCTGAAGTCAAGAGAGTGAAGCTCGTAGTCGCGCTGAGCGGCTATGTGCAACAGCACCCGAAGAGTGGTCATCTTCGGGGTGGGAGAGAAGCTCTGAAAGTAGTCAACTCCCTGCCGCTGACTGAATCCTTGAGCCACGTAACGCGCCTTGAAGACAGGCGGAGAACCCGGCGGCCGCTTCACCCTGAAAATCCACATGCCACTGACGATGTTCGCCCCAGGTGGGGGAACCTCGTCGACGTAGGTGCCTGTGGACTTCCAGGAAGCCATCTCTGCGTCCATGGCTGACTGCCACTGTGAGGAGTAAGGACCCTCGATCGCCTCAGCGTACGATCGAGGAGTCGGGATGTCTGGTGCATCCGGGTCTCCCTCAGGGGCAATCAGCGTGGACACGAGATGAGGCAAAGCAGCAGCAAAACACTGGAACTCCTCCTGCCTGTCCTCAAGGACGTCCGTGCTAAGAGCACACTCACCCCCGACGGACGGAGGACAGACAGACTCGGACTCAGCAACAAGACTAGCAGCGTAGTCTAGACGACAGCGAGCAGCAAAGTCGACAAGCTCAGCAACCAAGGCAGACGCAGCAGTGGACTCAAAGGAAGGGTCAGTGACAACAGTAGCCAGGAGACGCGTGACAGTAGGACTGGCAGCACGAAGAGAGTCAGACTCCGGGTCAGCAAGGACAGGAAGAGAGGACTCTGGAGGAGACGGCAACGGGACACGCGGAGGAGCGGTGGAAGGACGCAGTGCCATCTGGTGTGTGCCTGGGACCGCAGGAGGACGCGGACGCGTAGCACGACTACTAGTGCGAGCAGCACGAACAGGCGACGCAGGACGAGACGCAGGCTCACGATGCTCAGCAAGACCTCCAGTAGGACCAGTGTAGGGAGAAGGAGCAGGCAGGGGGGAGGCGGGCTGTAACTGTGACCGCGACTGGACAGGCTGTGGACACTCTAAGGGAGGAGCAGGACCAGTAGAAGGCGGGAGACCAAGAACCTGCTCAAGGAGCGGAACGAAGTACGGCCGCGGCCGCGCAGCGCCTCCAGAACCAGCAGGGACAGCACCAGTACCCCCAGCGGCAGCACCAGCGCCAGCAGCACCTCCAGCTCCAACAGCGCCAACTCCAGCACCCTCAGAAGCACCAGCGCCAGCAGCACCTCCAGCGCCAACACCCCCAGCAGCTCCAGCTCCAGCAGCTCCAGCTCCAGCAGGACCGTCAGCTCCAGTAGTCTCAGCAGCACCCCCAGGCCCAGTAGCTCCAGTACCGCCAGTACGAGCACCTCCAGGACCAGTGGCTCCAGTAACTCCAGTGCCGACTCCAGGGTCAGCAGTAACAGTAGCACCTCCAGCTCCAGCAGCACGGCTCCAGCGACGGGCAAACCACTCGCGCAGCTCCTGTGGAGAGGGTAGCTCCCGCCTCGACGACGCACCCGAAGGGGCCCCAGACCCAGCATCGCCAGAGGCCACACGAGCAGACCCAGCACCCCCAGGCTCCGCACCCCCAGGCTCAGCACCCCCAGGCTCCGTACCCCCAGGCTCCGCACCCCCAGGCTCAGCACCCCCAGGCTCCGTACTCCCAGGCTCCGCACCCACAGGCCCAGCACCCCCAGATCAGCACCCCCAGACGCAGCACCCCCCAGGCTCAGCACCCCCAGCAGTACCAGAGTCAACAGCTACCTCGACAGGCTCGACTGCGTCTACCTGGGACACACCTGACGGGGCAGGACCCTGAGGGGGGAGGGGGTCGACCGGGGGGGGACCTGGCGCAAGGAAGAGCGGCGGCGGGGGGAGGGGAGCAGTGCGGTAGGGGAAGAGACGGTAGTAAGGAACCGACTCGTCAAACGTGACGTCCTGGGAGGACAGAACACGGCGCGAGGTGGGGTGGTAAAACTGCCAACCAGGCGCATCAGGGGGGAAGCCAAGGAAGACGCAGGGAACCGCACGGGGGGACAGCTTGTCCGCAGACAAGTCGCGGACAAACGCCCGAGATCCCCAGACACGAAACGCAGACGCATCGCCAACCTTCCCCGTCCACCGCAAGGTGGGGGAGGTCTCTGGCAGGGAGACCCGGGGCTGAAGGTTGATCTGATGCGCTGCGTACTGAACCGCAAACGGCCACAGAAAATGGGGAGCAGCCGCATGGATCATGGACGTACGAGCGACGTCCATGACCATGCCAATGCGGCGCTCAGCAATCCCATTTTGCTGTGGAGAGGCCGGAAGCGTGAAGGTCAGGCGGATGCCCTGTGCACGACAGAAGGCTCCCAGAAGGGCAGAGGAAAACTCCCCGCCTCTGTCAGAGTGCAGACGCAGAACAGGAAAGTCCGAGCCGAAACTCTCTCTAAGCTGGAGACAAGCTGCGCGGATCCAGTCGATCAACACCTCAGTGACGTCACCCTTGCTGCGCAAGGGGAACACCGTGGTGTAACGCGAGTAGTCGTCAACCACCAACAGGAAGTAACGCTCGTGACCCTGGCCACGGACGCGGGCGGGGCCCCAGACGTCCATGTGAAGAGTCTGCAGCGGAGCCTCTGTCGGAGGAAACTCGGAGGAGTGAGGGGCGGCGCGCTGCCGCCCCTCGACGCAGGGAACGCAGGTAGGGGCAGGCCCCGGAGGGAGGGGAGGGAGGGACCGGGGGAGACCAGAGACAAGGACACGGGAGGCCATGCCTCGGAGACGAGGCAGGGAGGGGTGACCAAGGCGGTGGTGCCAGAGGAGAGTCTGGTGGGACAGGAGACGACACGAGCAGGGAGCAGACTCAGGACCAGACCTGGACGCTGCAGCAAACACCTGACTCGACGCAGCTATCTGACCAGACTCAGCAACCGGAGGAGACTCAGTGGTAAGTATGTACAGGCTCGACCCCGGTCGACGGGTAAACGTGGCCAAGTGACGGCCCGTCCTAGCACACGTGCAGTGGGTCACTCGCTGACTCGCAGGAGTGAACTGGTGAACCCCCCCATCCTGTAGATCTGCACCACTCACCAAGTTCGTAGAGAACGAGGGGAGGTAAAGACCTGACAGGGTGCCAGAGGGGGCCGCCGGACACGGTAAGACAGTGGAGAAGTGGGCAAGGACAGGACCCCCGGAGGGGTCTGCCAAGGAGACCGCAACTGGCCGACTAAGCGTCGTGAGTGTGGTGCGGTCTCGAAAGAAGGAGCGGGAAGCACCCGAGTCAAGGGTGAAGGTGTGGGAGGCCTGAGCCGACGTGGTACCTGAGAGAGCAGACTCACCAGCACCTGGGGCAGCAGACTCACTAGCACCTAGAGCAGTAGCCTCACCAGCACCTAGAGCAGCAGCCTCACCAATGCCCGGGTCAGGCGGAACACACAAGTAACAGTCACCCTCATCACTAGTAGACACAGCATACATGGCAGCAAGAATAGCATCATAGTCAAGATCAAAGATAGCAACCCCCGCCCTAGACAGCTCTCCCCAGCGAGGGATCTCAGTGGCGTCAGGGAACTGGTGACGCCAAGCGTCCGTCAGGCGGCCGAAGCAGCGCTGGGTGGAGTGCGAGCCCCCGCACTGCTCACCAGCGTGGTCGCCAGTACGGAGGACGTAGGTACAAGGACCAGTACCCCCACCCCGCTGACGCCCAGCGTACCACTCACGAAGCTGCTGGGGGGACGGGGTCTCACGAGCGCGCTGCTGCAGCTGGCGCGGACCACCACCGGGGCCACTCCTCTGCGCAGAGCCGCGACCAGCTCCACCGCTGCCGCCTCCGCCTCCGCCACCTCCGCCTCCTCCGCTCCCACCGCCACTGCCGCCGCCTCCTCCGCCTCCACTGCTGCCACCGACACCTCCACCCCCGCCACCACTCCCACCACCACCCCCACCCCCTCCACTGCCTCCACCGCCACCTCCACCGCCCCCGCCAGCTCCTCCAGCACCCTTGCCCCCCTTGCCCTTGCCGGTGCGGCGTCTCCCGCTAGGGGCAGACGCAGCTCCGACCGACTCGAAGCCAACGAGGTCGGTCGCAGCAGCAGAGGCAACAGAGGGCAAGAGGGGGGAGGGGGAACACCCCTCAAAGACGGGGGTACGAGGGTCACCACGAGAGGCTCCTACAGCGAATATGCTCTTCTCTGCTGCCAGGAGGCGCTCCTCGAGGAGGTCAACGGTGAGTGTGGTGGGGCAAACTGAGAGGAAGTGGTCCCTGACTAAGCGAAGGGAGTTAGGGAGCCGGGTGACTACGTAGTAGAGGGTGATGTACATGGGGGGAGGGTTCTTGGCACAGAACTCAGAAGGAAGCGCAGCGCGGTAGCGAGTGTCACTAGTGCGAAGGTGCGTAATGAGGTCAGCGACTATGGGAAAGGCAGCAAGGTCAGGGAACAGGTACGGCAGTATGAGGCGGGTAAGAGCAGCAGTGGCAGGGGAAGAGTACCGTGCAACTACAGCGTCGTACAAGGTCTTAGCACTCTTGTACTGACTAAAGAGCGCACGCTCAGCGGTCGGTAAGTGGCGACGTACAGCAAGATGGGCAGCAGCATCGCGTGTGCCCCACTGTGAGCGAACAGTGCTGTCAGCATCAGCAGGCGGGGCAGGAGAGGCACCAGAGGTGAGATCAAACAGGGAGAGTCCGTCTGCCCTATCGCACTGTAGGAAGAGATGTAGGTCATCGACCCAGATCTCGAAGTCAACAGCACGACCCTCAGCATCAAAGGTAAGGACACTGGGGGTAGCCATGACAGCAGCGGTCTAGCAGGGAGTGCTCTCACCAGTCCGGGTGGGTAGGGCCGGGGCGCGCCGGAAGGAACAGGGCTGCAACTATTGTGGCAGCAGCTCGGTAGGGGCGGCTCGACGGCAGTCTCGGCGGCTCGGCGGCTCGGCGGCTCAGCGGTTCGGCGGCTCGGCGGCTCGGCGGCTCGGCTGCTTGGCGGCTCGGCGGCTCGGCGGTGAAGAGGCCGGGGAGGGGCCGAAAGGGGCGGCGACGGGGTCGCAAGGGGAGGCGACGGGGCCGCTAAGGGCGGCGACGGGGCCGTGAAGGGGCGGCGACGGGGTCGCAAGGGGCGGCGACGGGGCCGCTAAGGGCGGCGACGGGGCCGTGAAGGGGCGGCGACGAGGCCGCAAGAGGGCGGCACTGGGGCCGCGAGAGGGCGGCGACGAGGCCGCGAGGAGCGAGTGCAGGGCCGCGACGGGCGGCGACGCGGCCGCTAAGGGCGGCGGCGGGGCCGCGAACGGCGGCGACGGGGCCGCGAGAGAGCGGCGACGGGGCCGCGAGAGGGCGGCGACGGGGCCGTGTAGGTGGGGCCGCAAGGGGCCGCTAAGGGCGGCGCGACGTGCCGCTTAGGGCGGCGCGACGGGCCGCTAGGGGGCGGCGACGGGGTCGCGAGGGGCCGTGAGAGGGGGGGCCGCTAAGGGCGGGGCGACGGGTCGCTAAGGGGAGGGCGGCACATAGGGCGCGCCTCGGTCAGGGGCGACTCGATCTCAGGGCAGGAAAAAAAAAGCTCGATTTTCAGTGGTGGGCCCTAGGAAAAGTTCCCACTAGGGAACCTGCTCTATACCATGTGAAGAAATGAGGAATGAATGAACTAGCAAGCAGGTGGGTACAAGTAGGAAAACCTAAAAGTGTTGTACCCCATATTGTCTACCCCACTACAGCCTACACAGACTATAGCATATGAGTTTGACAGTGGCAGGCCCCAAAAGGTTTCCACTATTGTGTCGGACGACTCCATAGCACGAAGGTCATCCCGTACACCCTAACTCGTTTGCATACAAGTATAGATATGTATTGTTGCAATGTGCAGCGGCACTGCCCCGCCCTCAATAACATGCGATCATCGCGACCTGCAACTAAAACACAATATAGGCATCCTTAGCCATAATGTCTTGGCCTTCGCAAAGATTTACCACTCTACCAATAGAGCTCTCTGTAGAAATGTTACATGTTGATGGAGAGTTCATAATACGTTAACAAAATAAATGTTGCGTGGTTGGGTTTTTTAGAAGACAACAAATGATGAAAATTGTGGATACTAGTACTGAGCGAAAACAACTTCGTTGAACAATTGGTTAGAGCAATGTACTGTTGGTGCATTATTTTGATAGAGCAAATGTTTATTTTTTACTCTATCTCATTAAAATATGTCATCGCAATCATGAACTGTTTGCATTGATTTATTTCAACCGTAAAGCATTTCTTAGCATTGGTCAATTTATTGAAAACCTGTAGGATTCTATGAACTACTTTTGTGACTTCGTGCAACGCGAGTCTTTTATATCAAAATTAAATAGATTGACAATTCAGGTGCTTCGAGAAAGTTGTTTGATATGAAATTTGATAGCATTTTTTATGAAAGAACTCTATGTCATTTCTCCCACATACGGATCATCTTTGGTCATCTACGCGATACACCGAGAAAAAAAAACATCGTATATAATTCGTTTAATATTTTGTTTTTTATTACTCCTCGAGTAATTTGTTGATTACTAGCTGTTTTGAACGTGTTACATTGTTGAATTTTGATGGTTTACCATATTTTGCAATGACTGTCAAAGTATGTTTATGTTTCCAATTGTACATTTTGGTAGGCCATGTTGGGTTTGTGCTGGACAGGCTAGGGTTTACAGTTTGTACCCATGCATGCTCTCCACCCCATCTGCCCTAGCTATTATGCCATGCCCAGCCCATGGCCCCCTTGTGCCCCGACGTGCCTGCATTAGCCGCCAGTCGCACCCTCCCTATCCCGCCCAGCATGCCTCTGCCTAAGCCGCCAATTGCACCCTTGCCTAGGCCGCCCAACGCACCCTACATTTTGCCGTCCTTGTGCCATACCTATGCCACCCGCCGCGCACTTTCTTAGGCTACCGACGCGTCCTACCTAGGCTGTCTTCCCGCCCTACGTACGTCGCCCGTCGTGCCCTACGTTATACCTCCGCTATACCCTTGCCTAAGCCGCCCAGC